TCACCGCGCGGACGTCCCAGGTCGATGACGTAAGCACCTGCGCTTCCGCTGCATCCTGGGGGCTGTAGTTCCGCCGGGCGCCCGGCAGGGTTGGAGTGGGCGGGGCCTCGAGCTGTCAAGGGGCAAAGAAAGCAAGGGTGTGTATTAGATAAACGTTCCCGCTCTTTCCTTTTATGTCTCAGAGCCTGCCCCCAGGGCCTCTGCCAGCTCTGGAATCCAAGCCTGCGTTTTGTAATTTTAGAGAAGAGCTCTCAAGAGGAAGCTTGGGCCGGCTGCCCTTCAATTGACTTTGAGGAAGTAAGGATAGCAACGACAGTCTTTGAGCTGGTATTTAACGTACCTCATTTTATTTAACCTTCACAACAGTCCCAGGAGGCTCAGAGAGATCACTCCAGCTCATATATGGCAGATCACTGGGCCTCATTATGTGCCAGGCACTAGGATACAGCAGTTAACAGATCTGATGGCCTCAGCTACAGCAAGGAAGATCCCAAGCCTACGGCTTTCCAGCTCAGGCTTTCCAGCTCAGCGGCCACCAGCTACATGCGGCCTCAGAGCCCCTAGTGCAAAAAGAGATGTACCGTAAGACTTAGTACCAAAAAAGAACGTAAACGATCTCATTAATATTTTTGTTTTGATTATGTGTTAAAGTGATAATATTTTGGATAAACTGAGTTAAATAAAATATATTACTAAAATTAAGTTCACCTGTTTCTTTTTACTATTTACATAAAATATGCCGTGAAAAAATCTAAAATTATGTAAGTGGCTCACATGATAATTGTGGTTTATAATAAATATATATTTGGTCTTCATCTACTGTTCCTGGCACACAACTCCTGAAATCTAAGGGGCATTGGGACATCTTTTGTTTTAATTACTTCTGTAAATAGCTTAGGAGCTATTCATATAAAGGTGAAAGTGTGTCTTTTGTTATTATTCATAACAAGCCCCTTTCAACCACTTCTGAGTTTATGTTAACGAGTAACTTTCTGAAAGCTCCTAAAGATGGGAGCTGATTGCCAGAGGAAACAACGATGTGATTAGAAGATTGGAACTTTCAACCTCACCTCACCATCAGCGACTGGGAGGGGAGAAGAGCTGGACATTGATTTGATCGCTAATGGCCAATAATTTAATCATAGGTGTTGAAGCCTCCATAAAAATTCCTGGATTACAGAGTTCAGAAAGCTTCCTAGTTGGTGAATACTCGGAGGTGGTGGAGGGGCGGTGTACCTGGAGAGAGCATGGAAATGACTCACCCCTTCCCACATACTTTGCCCTATGCATCTCTTCCTTCTGGCTGTTGCTAAATCGTATTCCTTTATAATTAGCCAGTAATCTAGTAAGTAAACTGTTTTCCTGAGTTCTATGAGGCACTCTAGTAAATTAATCGAACCTGAGGAAGGGGGCATGGGAGTCTCTGATTTATAACTAGTCCATGTGGAGGAGGAAAAATAATTTTAAGCTCCTCTGGCTGGACTAACAAATTAACATGAGACAGATTAACAGTAGAAAATGATCATAAGAATATGTTCTTATGAAACCCATAAGAATGAGTTCCATAAGAATATGATACACCCAGGACAGATGGGGCAGTTTAGGGTTATATGCCATCTTGGGCTAAGGAGAAGGGGATGGGAATGTGGTTTTGGACTTCAAAGGGTAGGAAGGCGATTCACATGGAGATAGAAAAGCAAATGTTGGGTAAATAAATGTTTGCTGGGTCATCTTTAACAATGGGATACAGAGAGGACCCCACTGTATATGAACTAGTTGTGACAGAACTGTTTGTCGCAACTAGTTCATATTAAACTATAGTTATCTATGACAATAGCTCCCTTCCTGGAGCAGGTCTTCTATCTAAATTCTTTTAGGAGGTTAGGGAGAAAGGTCAAAGTTTGTTTCTGAGTCTTTTGTTTCTTAAAAATAATCAGCTTAAAATAATCAGTGTCCCCAAAAGGCATATTTTGTTTGGCAAACTCTGTTTCTCCCATGGGTCAGAAGCACAGGTAACAACCTGAAGTTGTGATTAGTGTTCGAAGTGGGTAGGGGCAGTGTCGTAAGACTGAGCCCTTAACCTGTTGGCTCTATTGCTATCTCCAGGTAGTGCCCAAATTGAGTTAAGTTTGTAGGACACCATTTTGGTGTCTGCTGAGAATTAGACAATAGCTTAGTGTGAGGAAAAAAAAAAAAAACCCACACATTTGGTGATCAGAAGTGGAGTGTTGTGTGGAGTCTAGAGCAAAGGAAAATAGTTTTATATTTCTACTGGACAGCACTGCTCTCTCTATAACTATGGCAGCATCTCACCACAAATACTTCAAGAGGCAAACCAGTACCCACTGGATCTACTAGCTTATCAGTTCCCAGTGAGGTCGGTCAGAAGAGGCAGTCCTGCCATTCTGACCTGAGTGAACAAGTCGCCTTGTGTCATGAGTCAGCCTCTGGACTGTGGGGCTAAACCCAGACACTGCCTCAGGGTGTGGCCAGGCCTCTGGGGTGTGATGCACATGGGGCTTGTTTCATGCTGCCCTGTAGTGCTATTGTCTGATTGCTTTCTCCTCAAGCTCCCTGGCCTCCCTAAGGGAGCTGTCAATTCTGTGAGGGCAGGAACTGAATTCCATTTCCTTTCCTTTCGGCAGAATCTTGCCCAAGTCAGCTGGAGGACTGGAGGGCCTCCCTTCTGAACATCTGTCCTGTCCATTCCCTTCTGCGGACTCTGGCCTAGGCCCTGGTCACCTGCCTTGACTGCTGCAGGAGCCTCAGAATCTGTTCCCAGCCTTCTGGTCTGGCCCTCCACCCAGAACCCAGGGTTTCTCCCAAACAGCTTCAAGCTGGGAGGCTCTTCATGGCAAGACTCTCAGTTTGGCTGGCAGTGTTATTGGGGAGGGGTGCAGGGCAGGGGTGGTATGCAATTGCACAAGGCCCTTATCTTCTGCATTACCTATTTCTATTTCTATTTCTTTTTTTTTTTACAGTGGGCAGGAATTGCATTTATAATCAGAAAAAAGTAAAGTTAAACACACATACTCACACGCGTACGCGCACCTTATATATACACAGCTCAGAAAGGGCGCCCATGAAACACATGAGACATGGTTGCTTCGGGGGAGAACTGGGCAGTCAGGGATGAGAGGTGCAAAAAGTAATAAGATGTGTGCTGTTTAAATTTACCATGGGCCCATTTAAAAAACAAAAAACTTAAAACTACCTTTAGAGCGCATATGCAAAACCCTCGAATGTTTCCAATGAAATAAAGTCCAACTCCTCCTAAAGGCCCGCTCACCTTAGCCTGGGAAAAACGGGCTTTGACCACTTGACCCCCTCCACTCCACGTACACCAGCCAACCTGTATTCTTGGATTCCCCATCTATGCCTCACTGGCTCCAGCTGCCTGACCTAGAGTCTCTCTGCCTAATGGAAACCTCCTCCCCCTCCGAGACCTGCTTAAATGGCATCATTCTCAAGCTTCTGTCTCAGCACTACTCATATTCTGGGCTGGGTAATTCTTTGTTAAGGGGAGGAGCTGTTTCTGTGCATTGCAGGATGTTTAGAAGCATCCCTGGCCTCTACTCACTAGACCAGTAGCACTCCTCCACCCTTTCCCAGTTGTGACA